AGTAATTGCTGGGTTACATCTGGTCCTCTCTGGAAGTACTGCTGGAGTCACCAGAGTTCCCCAGGAGCGGGTGTGTGTCAGAATGAGGGGTCTCATTGCATATGGAACCCGGCCTCTTCCCTCTGCACAAGGGCAACGACCCACACAGTAAGAGGCTGTCTGCTGAGCAGTGTGACTTCTGTCCTGGGGGAACCAAGGTATCAGGCCATGCATTGCTAACCAACGGGTCAGCAGGGCAATGGCAGGAGGTCGACAAGCTGCTGAATGATGGGCATGGATGACAAGGAAGTAACATTCTAAACCTCTCTGGTGGTGTTATCCTTATGCAAGCCATATTGGCATAGCCATCAGGTTCCCTAATGAATGAGTGACCAAAGTCCATTTGGTTTCAAACTTTTAAGGAAGTGTGTGGTGGAAGGAACCTACCCTTATTATAAAGACATGGTTTTGATGTATAGCTCAACAGTGACTTTCTGCTCAGTGGTAGAGAAGTCACATTCTTCCCTAGGTGCTGTTCATCCATCCACAGGCCTGGAACTGTTCTTGTTGTACTATACACAATACTAAGCTCTGAGGCTTTTGGAACTAACATTTTGCTTTTCACATCTCTAGAGACCAAAACAAGCCAGAAAGGCAGGCCATCGGTGTTTCCATTTTACAAATAGGGAACTGGTGGCCAGAATTACTTAGTGAAAGTCAGAAATCTAACTCTTGGCTCAACACAAGAGCTGATCAAAAAATATGATATTTAAATAAAATTTATTATAGTAAAATTTATTACATTTCCATTATTCCACTTCAAAACACTCTCCTCACTTCAAACACCCTTACCCCATTGGTCTTGCCACTTTCTGAAGCAGGTCTGGAAGTCCTCTTTAGTGAGTACCTTTATAAGGTATGATAAAAAATAGTGAATGTTGCTGCCAAAGTCCCATCCAATGGACATGCAGGCTCATAAAACATTATGATATGTTCTCAGCCACCTTATTCACCAGATCTTGTCCCATGTGACTTCCAGTCCTTTCTCAATGACAAAATGACCATGAAGGGTCAACATTTTGAATTGACTTGGGACCTAAAGGCAGCCATGCTTTCATGTAAGTGGAGACTGATGCCTTTAGTGCAACTGAAGACTTTCATGGAGAAGAATTAAATTCCAGAATGGCAATGTGTCTTCTACTATAATGATCTTTTAAAACTGAAATTAAACATTCACTGTGTTTTGTGATCACACTTTGCATTCTTTCTAAGGCCCTCATTGCAGTGTTTTTGTTCCAGATAACACAACTGGGTGACTCTCAAAATTGCAGCTTTTGCTCAGGTGAGCAAATGAGCAATCTGGAAGCTCATCTCACCTCCGTAGATTAAGGTACCTGTATCATTGTAACAGAAACCAGAAGGAGCAACTGTCCCTAATTCCTTTTCCAGAGCTATTTCAGTGGCACATAATGCAGTTATTCTCCAGTTTCCATGCACATGAGAATCCTGGGAGGATGTGCTTATGGAGCTGACAGCTAGGCTCTGGCCCCAGAGTGCTACAGCAGCCTTAGTCACCAGGTCTGAAGTTGCCTAAGAGAAGACAATTCTGATACAGTTTCCTCACTGCTGAGAGCCCTGCATAGAAATAGCTACAAAGCTAACCACATTCTCTGCCCTCTGCCTCTATCTAAACTAGGAAATCTAGGCTTGTATGGGTGGTGGATACATAGTGAATATTCTTAGCCATGATTTGGCCCCAGTGACCCAACTGACTCATACTATTTTATTTTGCTTTCATCCTTCTTGATCTGGTGGAGCAGCTTTGCCAACCCAAAGATAAAATTAACATGAGAAGAACTCAGAGCCCATAGGGAAGCAAAAACTTACACATATAAAAAATTCACCATTGCCTTGAGATAGGAATATTAGACACCTTACAATATTTGAGAGGCTCCCAATTAAAAATTCATTGAAGAAGTATAGGCACTTTGAATTATGAATCATTAGACCACAAAAGACCACTTCTTTAAGAAATACCTAAATGGTATTCTCAATATTTGAGGAACTTGTGCAACCTAAAAATTTGAAAAGGCAAAGATGACACATGAAAAGTTATACCAAGTCACACATTATTTCTAAATAAAGTCCTAAATCAAAAGAAAACTGCCTTTAATTCTTTATCTTTAATTTGAGTTCAGAAAACATGATTCCAGGATATTTAGCTAATTTCAAAAACATGCAAGCAAATTGTTGACCAAAGCTTCTGGTCTCTTGGATCTCTGCAATCCCTGAAACTGTATCACATACTTTAAACATGAAAGGACTAAGCACATCCAACTCACACACTTGCTCTGGGGTACTTAGCTAACATTTCTTTATTTGTCCAATGTGGAAACAAAGGGCAAAAGAAAGAGATTTGTTACTGTTGAATGCTTGAAACAGCAGGAGAAAGAAGAAAAGGGAAAGAAAGAAAAGAAAAAAGAAAAGAAAGAAAGAAAAAGGGAAGACCTATGTCCTGTTAGTTTTCTGTCCTAGTAACATTTCCCCTGCTTACATCTTCAAGACCTGAGTTGGAGCTCCACTTCAATCAGTCACTGAAAACCAGTTGTTATGCTTCAGGTGTAAAATTTTCCCTAAAGTCTCATGTGTTTAGTGGGGCTTTTGAGAGGTGACTGGATGATGGTCCTGCAAGTCATCAGTGGATTAATACAGTGATGAGTTCATGTGCTACTGCAAGGTAGAGGCAGGTTGGAGGGGTGGTCACTGTGGGAATGATGTGGAGCAGTGCACACTTTTTCCAGGAACTCCCACCATGTCATTTTTGCCCTGCAGCCAGAAGACCATGGACTGATCCTTCTGTAACTGGGAGCCATTAAACTTCCCTTCCTTGGGCCAGGGATTTAGCTCAGTGGTTTTGCCACCTCCTGTGAAAGCGCAAGGACCTGAGTTCAATTCCCAGAACCGAAAACAAAACAAAACAAAAAAACTTCCCCTCCTTCAACTTGTGGCTGCCAGGTATTTGATCCCATTGATAGGAAAGTGATTAATAGACTGATATCAGATCAAAGACCTCGTAGTTGCCAAGACCTCTGATCAAAAGTCCTGGCCATGCTCATTTGGATAGTAAACTTGGGGTCTGAGTGGGTCATCTAATGAAAGCTCCTCTCAAGGCTGTATAAAATGAACAGATGCAGTAAATTAGATTTTTCTTCTCATTTATTCATGCCCTCCCTCTATCGGGAATATTTATCCACCTCTTTTGTTGTGATCTAGTGTGCTTTCCACCAGAGAAGGAAAAGTTGTTTTCTCCAGCCATTGATGTCGACCTAGCCATGTCTGTTTCTTATAGTCAATGGAATGCAAATGAAGGTGAAAAGAGCAATTTTTAAGCTAAGGCCTTCAAGGCATAGAGTGTTCTTCTGGCCCCACACCGAATGCTGTAATACATTTCCAGGTAGCTGCTGGTCCCAGAATGATTATGAGTCATGGGACGGACTCACCAAGTCTGCACTCACTCAGACCAGACCAGCAGCGCCTGGCCCACCCCAGCTGAATGCATCCAAACCACGGCCAACCTGAACACTTGTGAGCAAAGATAAGTATCTGTGATTAGCAGACTTCATTCCTCCTCCCCCTACAACAATTTGCAGTGATATTTGATGAGCACAATAGGTAAAGAAAATTGCACAGAGAAAGCTCAGCCAAGTACGTAGCTTTGATGTACAAAAATACATTTATTTTCAACAATTTCAAAACCACTGTCTTTTTTACAGTAGAAATATTCAAATGGAACAATAAAACCAAGAACAGTATATGTACATATACTGTATATATAGATATGATTCATGCATTTGTATTCCAGTGTTTAGTACAAGTATTGCAATTGTCTGCTCCATTTAATCCTTAAAACAAGAAAGCGGAATCTTGAGAAATACTCTTCGCTCTTCGTACTAAACTACGCCGCAGCCACCCTCTCCTTGTCACTTTCTCCCTTTGTCTCACAAAGAGGAATGTGAATGACATCCCACAGAAACTAGCAGGTCCAAATGTGGCCTTTCCTCCCATGTCTCTATACAACATATCATTCTTTAAAACAAGTGTGACCAGGAAGAGCCTGAAAGTAAAACTAAACACCATGTTCACTGCGGGCTTAAGTGTCTCTACCAAAAAGAACTGGAATGCTGACGATGTGAAGGGGCTGAGGTGCCAGAAAAGCAAGTGTGGGCTTGGAAACCCACTCACCCCACAGGCCATCACTACCTGCAGGGAACGGAAGGCAGACATCCGACCCAAGGAAGTTGTGCACATGTGACAGGCAACTAGCACAGCGTTGCTAAGACCATCTTTGACTAACATCAGGAAAGGCTCGAGCTCCTCTGGCCTGCACGATTTGGGTGGACTCACGACCCCACAGACGCCACCTTCCTTGGAACTTCTCTAGCTCTTCTCCATGCCAGGAGATGCTGCCTGGGCTCACCTCTGTGCCCACAGGGTCTTCAGAGCTCAGGGAAGCCTGATCATTTGCCGTGAGCATTTTATATTTCCATGTCTCTAGATCCACTGCTTGGCTTCTTAGAGTAAAAGAATTCTTTTCAGTCTCATGAATACTCTCAAATTCTCCTCTTGGGGAGGAAGCCTCACCACCTGACCTGGGGTACAGTTTGAAATATCTCGTTCTGGGCCTCATCTTGCAACTTTCTGCAGGCCACTGCTGGAACAAAAACAGCTCCCAAGTACTATGATGTCACCAGTCCTTCCTGTATCAATTGCCCCATCGAAGCCCCCCACCCCAGTGTATCCAGAAGCAGAAACCAGCAATGGGATGGGTGTGGGGCGGTGGCAGTTAAATGTGACAGACAGCTGGCAAGTGTCCGGAGCCCAGCAGTCAAGCGGGCCTGGGGTAGGTCAGCACGGAGGGTGAGTGTGGAAGCCGACACAGGCATCGTTCTTTTTCTTGTTTTCTTTTTTACTAAACATTAAATTATTTCTTAGGAAATCAAAAGCTATTTACACAGTAGTTATGTACAATCAGCTGTCCGCAGCCTCACTGTTGACATGCACGAGGCAGGGCCGCTTGCTCTCAGGAAGGTGTGCACACTTTCTGCAGCTGTGTGCCCTTCCCACCAGCCTGCCTCTGGCAGCTCTGACTGACAGATGGTGAGTGTCGGACCTGTGTCCCAGGGGCAGGACAGGGGTGATGACAATTCGAGTGAGGGTGTGGACAGACAAGAGTTAACAAAAAGCCAACCCTACTTAAAATGAGAGAGCGAGAGCAGGAAAAGGAGAGCCTTTGCACTACCAATGGCAGAATAAAGCAAGGAGGCTGACAGGAGATGCATCCTTTGCCCTTAGCACAGATGTAGTCACTCATTCTTTCTGTCTCATTTTAATCAGCTAAGCACACTCCTTTCTCCCAGAGCTAAGTATCTGCCTGCTATTTATAAGGGGGCCCTTAGTAAACAAAAGGTAAAAAAGACAGTTTCATTTTTCCATAATTACAACAATAATAACAATAATGATAATAATAGAAGTCATCAAAAATAAAATGTCGGCAAGGTGGCCGAGCACGTGGCTTGTTGGTGTCAAACACTGGTACAGTTGGGGATCTCCTTCGTGTTTTCGCTGTTCGCAATGGCGGCAATGCCTCCTGCAGGGGAGAGGACACAGAGAGGAGGGGATTAAGCCCCTTGAGGGTGTCATGCACTGAATACCAAGCCCCTACAGCAGGTGCCTCCAATGGCTGCTGGATGCTCCGGCCAGCTCACGGGCGCATCTCATGCATGCTGAGCTACGCCACCCCCGCAGTGCCGGGAGAATCAATACGGTGGGCTGTCATCTTTACCGATAACAAGGCGAGAGGCTGCAAGGAGCGAACACTGGCTCTCTGGAAGGCACTGTGCTAAAGACACAGTGACATTTAATTATCACAGCAGTCTCAGAATGAACTCTCAGATACTATACAGGAATTGCATAGAATCTTGAGTCCTATTCTTCCCATTTCACAGTTGACAAGTATGTGGCATAAAGAGGTCACAGAGCTACCAGGGTGGCAAAGCAAGGGCGACCTGGTGTCAGATCCTGCATTCATGAGACTACTGATTAGGACACATCCTCCTTTTGCTTTACAGAAACAAAAGAAAACAGTTAACAATACTGGAGAGCTGGTTTCATCTCCCCTACTATAAGCCCAGAGCTTCCAATCTTGATTGAATTCTACAGAGGAAAAGCCGGTCAATCCCCAGCCTTCCAGGCCAGCACATCTGGGGGACAGGTGATGTCCACTGCTGAGCAGGTGTCGGGGCAGAGGGAGGATCAGGGGGTTGGGGTCAAGGCATGCATACCGATGACCCGGGTGTCCAGCTCTTTGTCCATCAGCTCTTCCGGCTCGGTGAAGTCGCTGAGTGTGATTTTGGGTGCGTTTTCACTTTGGCTCACCGACCCGATCATCTCCTGCTCCTTGTCATGCTGAACTTGAGCATAGATGTTAATCCAGGGAATTTTCCTACAAGGGTAAGAACAAAACCAGAGTAAGCTCACAGGGCATGTTCCACTGGGGCAAGCCAACAGAAACCCTGGAAATCAGTTATCCACAGGAAAAGCCAATGTCAGGGGAAAGGACTGGTCACCCAGAGATGCTGGCCAGGAGGCCAAGGATGTGACTAGCTAGGGACTCAGAAGCCAGGGACAGTGGTAGCCACAGGGCCCCCTGAGATCACGTCATTTCCTGGGGTAAACAATAAGCAACTGTAAACAAATGGCAGAGGTGTTGGTTAGTTACTCACTGAAACCCGGAAAATATCTACCTGTTACTAAGCTTCCAAATGAGCTGCACTTTGACACTTATGAGGCTGCAGGTGGTGAAAAGACAGGTTTTGCTGTGGTCGCACCAATTTAATCAATTCACACTGGGGCCTTTTCAAATGCATCCCAATATATAACAGACTCAAAGCCGTTATTACAGGTTTTCAGAGTAAGACGCTGGGCCGGGTTCCTGGAATACATGATTGTTCCTCATGTGTTTGATGAGGGTGACACCAGCTTCCTTTCAGGACTGTGGGGAGCATTAAGGGAAGGAGCTAATGACACAGAAGTAGCAGGCTGGAAACAGAAGGCCGCAGGCCTGGGGTTGGAAGAGAAGGCGAGATTCGAGTGAAACCCTCCCAGGCAGTCCTGTCCTCACCCATCGGTTGTCTCCCGACTCACCACGGGCCGGCATCTTTCTCTCCCACTGCACCAAAGGCCAGGTCAGGCTTTTCTCTCTGCCCTGCTCTTCTACTTGAATTAGTACAGTTCTGGGCTTCTATTCACTACATAGTTGTTGAATAAATGACTCAAAGCCTGTGCTCTTTCTAATTTCTTAAACTATAATCTCCACTAAAAAGATTCCACTTTTATCTTGGAATATCCCACCCAGAAGATACTCCTCCTACCTAATCAGATGATGGGAACATTGGTCTAAAGTCCCAGCATTTTGCAAAGCCAGTTACGGATTTTTGCCCCTCAGGGGGCATCTGACACCAACCCAACCCACACTACTCCATGCATTTCTGAAGGAGAACCTCTCTGCTATTCCTGTACCAGACCATGGTATTTTCAGACCTCTACCTTTCCTGCCCCACTCCAAAATCCAATGAAGCAAATGTGTGAGCATTTCATAAGGCTGACTCTGAAAATGCATTGGAAACATGAGTAGTATCTACCTTTTCTTTAAATTCATCTTTCACGCCTTTGATATTTGTTCCGCATACATTAAGGGATGTTCCCCTGTGACTCCAACTGGTCTAAACCAGTTTAATATAACTCATTAGGCCTTAGATGAAGAGGGTCTATGTGTGGCAGCAAACGGCAGCCTCTATAAATGATCAGAATTAAGCATTCATGCTGGCCCTTACTTTCTTCTTATCTAAATAGAAATGCAGCCTAATGCTTTAGATATCCTCTAATCATAAAAGTAGACATTCCTCATGAATGCTGGGATCAACTGTAATATTTATGAGGCACTGGGAGCAGTCAAACAATTCTTGTTCATACAAGCTGTGTGCTTCAGTTTCAGAGCTGTGGCCAGTTTATGGTCTCCCTTCCTGCTTGCCTGGAGACACTGTGAAAGTTTAGCAGAATTCGCCCTGACAATGACTATTCGCTTTATTTCCACCTTTAGAAACACTTGTCAAAATAGGCACATTTTCATCTTTCTTAAATAGGTAGTTGGAAGGGATTGAAATTTATATCACAATTTGCAGCATTATCAAAAGCTGGCAAGCTGCTTTTCATTTCTTGACACATCTGTTTGTAGGATTCTGGAGGCTACAAGTCAGGACAGAACCCCACTTCTGCAGGAAGAGATCAAGAGCTGTATCTCGGGCCACACAGTCATGCAGGTTTAGAGGAGAAAGGTGGATAAACCCAAGTCTCTCAACAAAGCAAGCAAACAAACAGCAAACAACTGCAGTTTATATTCATTTGCTCCAGCTACGCAGAGTGTGGGAAGACTGGGAGCAAAGGAGACCCCGAACTATGAAAAAAATATAAAAGCTCAAATATTTTCTTGGTTATCCAGAAAAAGAGGATGCACAATTAGAGAAAGAAGGTCTTGTCAGGCAGTTTCCAGCAAATAAAAGCCATCTTACAGTGGTTTTTAATTATGTTGCCAAGATATGAGGAAACAGCAGTCAGAGCTAAGAGCAAAGTGGAAGGTGAGAGGCAGGTGACGTCTACTTAGAGGAGGTTTGAGGATCCTAGTAACTCTTCCCCTATGAGACCACTTGGGGTAGGTAAGTGGTTTCCAGTGCCTTGTACATAGTTGGCACTCAGTAAATGTGTGCTGAATGAATGTTTCTGTTTGTCAGTGCTGGTGACTACAGAGAGGAAGTTTTGATTCTGGAAACTCAGCATAGCCACGATCTGAAACAGAAACAGGATTGCCCACACCTAGACCAGCGGTGGCGAACCTACAGTACACGTGCTGTTTTCCTTTTAAGACAAACAATGTTAATGTATGTGTTGTTTTGCTGAACCAATACCTCAGTGTTCAGGTTTAATTGCAGTGCTGGCACCTGGTGATAAATAAGTGGGTTCTGGGTTGCAGTGTGGACACTTGTCTCTAAAAGGCTCGCCATCACTGATGTACACTGTGCTATGCAACAGTGCTTGCTACCCAGGCGTAGCTGCTTAAATTTTAATTAATTAAATTCAATATAAAAAATTCAGTTTCTCCTGAAAGTGTAAATGAGGACCAAAATGTATAATAGATAATGTGACATAGGAAGAAAAGGTTTAAGGGAAGTAGCAGGGCAGGGGAACGGAAAGAGGGGAAAGAAAAAAATATGAGAAAAGAAGGAAAAAACAGAGACTGAGCTTTTGTAAATAGGGAATGTGGAGGGGCAGAAGGGAGGAGGGGGATTGGGAAAAAATAAGAACTAAGATATATCATGCAAAGGTAGAGATTCCCAATGACAAATGTGATCATAATGTATACCTAAAATGCACCAATAAAGTTAATTTAAAATTTTCAGTTTCTCAGTCATACCAGTGGCTACGTATTAGAACAGTTCTGGAGCTTTCTCATCACTGGGGAAAGTTCTCTGGGACAATAATGAAAGAAGCAAAAACTACTCAGCAATGTGTCCCTTGCTCGCATGCAAGCTGGACGTCCTCAATGTGACCCACCGAGGTTCTACAAGAAGGGGAAGGAAAAGACTCAGGAAACAAGAGAGTGCAACAGAATCTCAGCCAAGTGTCCTGAGGATTGGGGGGGGGGTCAACTTTCTAAAAAGGGGCCAGAAAGTCACGTCTCACTGATGACTGGTCACGTAACTGACTCTGCTCTTTGGCTGCTAACTGGGAACTGCATGGGTACACGGTTCAGAGGTGTCCTTACCGCTATGGAAGCATGTATTAGATTGAACATATTTAGGGGAGCCTGCCGTATTAAGTCGATTGTCCAGGGAGTTTAGCAGCATTTATAAAAGAGAAGAAGCTTTGTGTGTCACAGGGTAAGTCATGGAGATGCCCACAGGCCCAAATGCTGCTCTGCAGGAATTCTATTGGTCTCTGCCCTCACCAACCATGAAGTTCTCGGTGCCAGAGGCAAACAATTGGGTTTAGCTGATCTTCAGACCCCAGCAATTGCCTGGCTTCTCCACAGTCAAATCCTTGGATAAGTGAAAGTCTTCTTGTCATGAAGTAATATCGCATCCGTCACGGGTGTTGCTGTAACAGACTCACGTTTTTGCATATTGACTCTTCTCTAGTTGTGACCTAAAGCTTTTCCCTCTCTTCACAGCAAAGGGGCAGGTTGATCCTTCTCAGGCCAAAAGGACATGCACTCACTCACATGTGCTTGTAAGGTGACTAACAAGGTAAATCTCATTCTGTCCTTGTAGTGGGCATGGAAGGATGTTGGAAAATTCCTGCCCTTGTAGCCAACACGGAAAGGTCTAAAGCAACTGAAATAGCCCTGGAGGGAAGCTAGGGGAGGGAAGGGGTGTGGGAAGCGTAAAGCACCTGTACCAGCAATCTCTTCTGAGTCCTAGAGGGATCAACTTCAAGGTCCAGAAAGACTCCTAGGAGCAAGATACGTTTTAAAAACTCATCTGAGAATACTTAACTGTATTTTGTACTTTACCCAGGCTTCTTCCGGAGCACCTTTCCATGGCACTGGTATAATTTTTGAGAGTCATCTATGTGCCAGTTTATGTGTTTCACTCATTTTACAGATTAGGAAACTAAGGCTTGGCAAGGCAAATAAATTTGCCCAAATAAATTGCCCAATCTTAAAAAATTAAAATTGAGTATGTCTGATTTCCAAGTTCACACTCTTAGCTACTTCAATGCCTGAGAAAAGTATTATGTAATTTGAATATTGGTGCAGATTTATTGATTTCAATTTCATAGGGTTTTTTTTTTCAGTATTGAGGGTTAAACCCAGGACCTTTGCACTGAGCTACGTCTGCAGCCCTTCTATTTATTTTGAGGCAGGATCTCACTAAGTGCTCAGGCAGGGGTCCAACTTGCAATTCTCTTCCCTCAGCCTCCTAGAGTGCTGGAGTTACAGGGATGTGCCAATATACCTTAAATTTCATGTCTTTAGTAAGCATATTGTTATATCATCCCTCTCTGGTGTTCAATAAAAACTTCTAAATTCTCTTGGAGTTTGATTTTGCTTATTAGTTTTCATTAGAAACACTGAACAGAGCTACCCAACAGCTACCACAAGAAACATACACATGCGAGTCAAATGCAGGGTCATTTTCTTCTGCTTAATACAGCCGTCCCGAATGGTTTACAGTATCTCCCGAATACCTGAGACTGTACGTTAGAAATCTGGGTGCTGGCTGAAGCCCACTTACACTGCTCTAGAGGAGAATAAACAGACTTCACAGGGTGGTCCTCCTGCTCTTAATTTATCTACTAACACAGTGAATAGAGGTCAGAGTCTTAAACCCCTTGATTCCTGCTTTTCCCTGGCGCCAACTAGAGCTTTCAGGTGGGTAAGCTCTGTTCTTGAGATGAGTTTAGGAATGCTGGTTGTAGGAAGAACAGTCCGCAATGATCCTCCTCGGCCCAGATACACAGTGAGAAATGGAGCACATACCTTTTGAACTTGTAGATCAGAAATACAGCCAGGCCCACGAACACCACGGACAGGAGCATTAGCACGGCTGAGCTGCTGTGCCCCGCACTGGCGTCCACCAGCGGGGCTGCAGGAAAGGAGAGAAGAGTTCACTCTGGAGCTAGTGGCTGGCATGGGGCCCTGCTAAGTGGCACACACTCTTCCTCCCGGGCTTCAACAGCCCAGCTTATTATCTGGGCACAGGCAGCTTAGCTTCCCCTGTGAGAAGTGTGCTTGACCGCAGCTTTTAAGAGAAAATTAACTCCTCTGCTGCATCCAGGGAAACTTGCAGTAATTGCCATGAACTGAAAAATGTGTGTCCAGCTTCTGGAAGCAGAAGGCCCCGAGTACTTTTTTTCTTAGGTGGCCTGTGTGCCCATGTGGCAGAGCACTTGGAACTGTTGGGGCACACATGAATGCAGTCTTGCTCTTTCTTTTCCTACACTGTTCTAGTAAAATACCCTGGATGTACATCTGAAAAGCTGGATGCTCTCCCAGACAGCCAGAAGCAGTGCCCAATAGGACAGGCCCTTTCTACTCCTTTCATAATACTACCTACCAACCTGACCTGGTCTCTCTTTCTGCTGAGATGCTCACATTATAAACTGCAAGGGAATAGTAAGGTTTTCTGATTTGACCTGCACCCGAGATTCACAGAGTCAGAGAATCAAAGAGAGCCCGAAGCCTACCCAGTATAATCCCAGTTGTGGCAAATAAAACAAACAAGTAAGTAAATACAGAAAATCTAAACCAAAGCAATGGTAGGTTTCCTCTGCTACAATCCAGGATTCCATGGCAAAGCTACTCCTAAGAATGTCTTCTTGGACCTCCGCAGGGTGGCTGCAGAGAGACGTGGTTCATCTCCCTGAACTTCACCACCCTAAGGTCCTGTCACACCACTTGCAGGCATGTGTGGAAAAGCCTTTGGTGATCATCTCTTCCCTTCTCCCTCCAGGAAAACGGATCATCACACCATGTCCCCTGCCTCCCAACAGGTACTCACCTAATGTCAGCTGTGTAACATACACAATGACCTGGACCCCTGGCTTCAGCTCGAACTGGACCAAGTTTTGGTTTAGAGCATTAAACAAGGTCTCTACAATCTGGAAAACAAGAAAGAGGCTGCATGGGAGGACATGGTGTGTGGTCATTCTCCCCGTGTGTCAAATGCAAAAAAAAAAAAAAAAAAGAAATGACCACTGTCAACCAAGGACAGAATACTGGCACAGAATTGGGGATATCACTTCGGTTCTCGCAGCCCCCAGAACCCTGGGAAACCAAGGAGGTGCCTGATATCATCTTCTTGTACTGGAGAGAAGACAGAAAGAGTATATCCACAATCACCCAACAAATGAGGGCTCTAGCAGACATGACCACTGCACGCAACTCCTAGCTCGGCATATTTCCCTCCATGCCTTTGTATAATCCAAGACCTGTTGTGGGTTCCAGTGAAAGAAATTGAACCCATCATTAGCTCTTTAATCTGATCAAGCAACACTTACAGGGTGCAGAGTCCCCTGCCGGGATTAAAGCAGGCATATACAGGCACAGCCCATCGCTCTGCATTTTTTTATCTTAGACACAATGGGAGGCAAACATCAAAGCAGAAGCTGCTTCCTTTTCATGGGATAATTTTTCCTCTTTGCTTTTCCCCAGCAAGTCTCAGAACACATAACATCGATTTAATCACTCTGTAATTCCCGCATGAAAGCTGAGGCAGACTTAGGCTGTTGTCCGTAACTCTTATCTCGCTGTACGCGCCTTAATATCACAGCTGCTATTCATCACCATAATTACCTATTTATCTAAATGGATGGATATTGTAGCTTCCAAATATAGTTCACTCACGCTGCTTGCTATTTCAGAATAAAGAGGTCTTGTAGAGTGATGCGTGCATTAAGAAGCTGACTTTATTTCTGGCCAGCTTCACATGCAACCCTGCAACCCTACAAAGAAACTATTTCTTATTCCAGAGAAAGGGATTGGAGTAGCAACTGTGTGGCTCCAGGACCATGGATGGGTGTAAGGGTGGGGTGACAGCCCGGCCAGGTGCATATGAAGGGGACACAGAAAGAGTCCCTGCAATGGTGATGTCACCCAGGAGCAATGCGTTTAATTTATGGTGACTTTGAGCAGTCTCAGCCACACTTAGTTTCTTCTGTTCTGATTGAGCATCCTGGGAAGGTAGGGGAAACCTGACGTGGGAAGCAGCCAATAAGACCCGGTAGAGGAGCAGAGGGAGACGCATTGGGCAGGCCACCTCCTGTGCTTCCAGGACTGTGTGGATCACAGGGACGACATGGCCAGGTGACAAGGACAGTGAGGAGCAGTCCCTCTCGGAAGTACTGCTTCTTTAGTCAAAGCAAGATGAGGCAAGCCATCTGTCTCCGAAGAAGCTTATTTAAACACTCCAGGCGCTATCCCTCTGCGTGTGGCTCAGGGCTCCTAGTGTTTGCACTAGCACTTACTTCACGCGGGCTGAGCACTGAGCAGGGCCCTGGGCTGAGGGTCCGTGGGAGAGAGCGTGCTGGCTGCAACACGTGAGTGAGGGGCACAGGCGATGTCCTCGCCTGGCCTTCTGCACGTACCTGTTCCAGGTCCCCGCCATGGCCTTTCCTCCTCTCTGTCAAGTTCTTGGGTGGCAGGATGAAAAGCTCTGCAGAGGTAGGGAGGCCAGGGAACACAGCCACGAGGATCTGGTCTTCGGGGACGCCGGTCACCTGCAAGATGTTTGGGGGAGACGAGAGCATGAGGCCCTGGAGGACCTGGCACTGCAGAGCCAGAGTCAGTGACACGGGAGCAGCCTGCACAGCTGCGGGCTCGCAGGGGCTCTTCCTTCCGGCATTTCAGGCACAGCCAAGCTTCCTCTCTGTCTCCCCTAGCACTGCTGGGGACAGAGTTACTAGCTTCACCCCTTCCGTACTCTTAGATGTATTTTTACTGAAACTCGAATGGTGTTACGAATGATTTTCTAAGCACCATTTGCCGGGAGGATTTGCGAAAGTTCCTCCCATATTTTCCCCCTTTCGGTACTAAGAGGATGAGAGTTTCTGGTTAAAACAGGAACAGACTGGCTGCAAATGAGGAATAAGCAGTTATAAATGAACACGGGGAAATGCACATTTAAAAATGGCACAGCACTTGTTTGCACTTATTAAAGCAGTTTTTTAAGTTTAGTGGCTAATATTAGCACAGCTGCAGCAAGGAGTCTCCCCGGTTTGTTGCTGGCAGCATTAAAAATTGATACATATTACAAATTTGTTTTCCACAAGACTTACTTCTAGGCCATAAAAACAGTCATATCCTTCATTCAGTCACTGTAAGTTGGCGAGATAGCCCTAAAGACGTGACCCAAAATATAGGAAAAGACATATGCAGGAAAAACACAACGTTATTTAGAACAGCAAGTAAACAGGAAAAATTCCAATATCCAAACACATACTAAGCCAAGTCAAATCACTTGTAGAATATTCCTGCAGCTGTAGCATGATAATGGGAACCGCGAGGCAGTGCGGAAAAGCACGGAGGAGGGATCTAGTTCCTACAATTCCTTTGGCTACAATCTATTAAATATATAGAAAAAAACTCCAGACACTAAGAGTTGTTAAGAGGCTGAGATGATGAGGGAGCTTTTCCATTCCTGGGTGTTCAGTAAAAGAGGTTCCACTGCTTTTGTGATAAAAACTCAACAGTTAGCTTCTATCTAAAGACAAATTCTTGAAAAAACAAAACCTGAGTGGGAACGCAGCGAGTTTTCCTTCTGCTTATTTCTCCCCCCGCCCTGTCTCCTGAAGGTCGCTGATCCGGAGTGGAGGGGATGAGCCCCAGTGTCCATGCTGGTGTGACCTGTGTGTCACCAAGCACTCGGGGGCTGACAGTCAAAAACTGCGGAGCCCCAGGCCCTAATCCTGTCCAGAGCAATGTGCCTGTGATAGTTCTCCCCAGATTCAAGGCTTAGGCCTCAGCAGACATGGTTATTATTATTCACTACTAGTAGTGCTGTAATCACCCAATGACTTCTTGAAAAGGTAATAAGTTTTAACGAATGCAGCCACAGAAAATACAGTGCAACTCTGGATGCTACGCTCAAAGACACATGCTGTGGTCTGAGTATCTGTGTCCTCCTACAGTTCTTACGTTCGAGACTTGATCATTAACCTGATGGCATTAGGAGCTGGGTCAGTGGAAGGTGATGAAATCCAGAGGGTGGAGCCCTTAGAGATGGGATTAGTGCCCTTTTTATAAAAGGCCCCACAGAGCTGCTTCCTCCTCTTTCCACTGTGTGAAGACATGGTGATAAAATGTCACCTGTGTGTCACGGCGTGCAGTCTGCCACCGCCTCCACCTTCTGCCGACTAGCTTTCAGAATTGCGGACATAAGTTTCTGTGGTCCTAAGTCTGAGGTCTCTTGGACGACTGAGGTGGCACAACACCCCGCAGTCTGCTTAGCCTTCTGTGAGCAACCTGGTTACACAAGGATCTAAAGTTGCTCGTGCCGGCAACACGTACAGGGGCGCATTTGTTTTTACTCCGCCGTGTCCGCGCCTCCTCCATGCCTTTCCCTGGGTCTTCAACCTCTGCCCGGGGAACACTGCCACTGTGGCTTTCCTGATCTCAGTCTCCCTGGGGGAGCCCCGTGACGTCCACAGCCTGGGTTCTCAAATCTGAGCCTCCAGCATGGTCCTCTTCTTGATGTGAACCCCATATTCTCCCTCTCTGGATCATCTTTACCCAATCATTTCTCGTGTTCTCCAGGCTCATCAAATATCAAGCCATTACTGTCCCTCCAGCATGTCTCTGCCGCAAGGTCCCCACCTGGGTTAATGGCGGGGTCTCTGTCCTACCCACTCTGCTACTCAGGAAACGTCTCCCTCCCTCTCACCCTCGCCGCATTTATTAACCACTAACCCTACTGCCCCAACTCTTAATGTCTTTGACTTTTCCTCCCAGGACCTCACTGTCCCTGACGTAGGTACCCGTAGGGGTCTTGTAGCGGCCCCTCTTGTGAAACGCCCCTCCCACCCTTAGCATCTCCTGCCTACTCTCAGCAGGTTTCCTCTGTATCGCCATTGGGATGGGCGCCTGAAGTATAAATCTGTTGACAGCATTTCCTTATGAAAGTGAAGTGCTGCAGAACATACAGCAAGCACTATCGGGCCTCACAGACCCCTCACAATCGGACCTAAGTATCCTAGCACAACTTCAGCCATGCTTGTTCTTGTAAGTTATTGATGAACTGCACCAAACTCATGGCACTTCTCAGACCTGAACTCTTTCAGTACTGCACGGGCTTGCATCTGCTCTACCTGAAAGACTGTCCTCTCTTTGGCAAGGGACGTATATCCTTTAAAACACAGTTCAAATAGCCCCTTCCAAAACCATTGCAGTAGTCCAATAAGGACCTATGAGGGCCGGGGATTTAGCTCAGTGGTGCTGCCGCCTGCCTTGCAAGTGTAAGGTCCTGAGTTCGATCCCCAGTACAAAAAAAAAAAAACTTATGAACTGCAAATTTGTGCTAGGATTGGCCTTTCCCGGATGGGGTGAATCACACTTTTTATCAGTTCCCTGGAGACACTGGCCAGGCCACTAACATAGAGCTTATTGCACATGAGACTCGTTTTTACATTTCAATTGAACATGTTTTATCATCCTATTCCATAGTGTAGCTCTGAGAAGGTTACCAAAGCTCTTTCACTTTCTCATAGGCACATCTGACTTTTGGTTAATTTGCTATCTGTTTTCTGGCCCGAAACCTCCGGAACACCATGTATGTCCAATGGTAGTCTAGTGAGTCCAAATCCCTCGTTATTCATAGGTGAACAGGCAGCTAAGCACGTATCCTACCCATTAGTCCACTGGGGCAGGTAAGTTCCTGTCTCAGAAATATTTACAATAAGCAATGCACCTAATTTCCATCTCCAAACACTGGACTAGACTTTCTCCTTCCTCCCCTTGCTCCCTCTCTTCCCTCTCTTCCCTCACTCCCTCCATTCTTCTTTTCTTCTCTTTTCATCTGGGAAATAGCGGTTTAACTTATTTAAAAAGTATTCTTGTTCACGCTGTCCAGTTCATTTCTTAGCACCAACTTACTTTAACCAACGCCCTCTTGATGACACTGCCAATGTCCAGCCTCCACTCTGGAATGTCAGGATTGTGGTAATCCAGGTTGGGAGAGAAGGATAACAGCTGGGACTGGAAGTATTCTGCAAGGAGAGAAAGTGCCAGTGAGGTGGGAGAGACGGGGAGAGGCTCTGCCACCCCGAGCCCGAGGGGTGGGCACTGGGCTGCAATTCCTTAGTCTCGGCCTGTTTCTCCTGTGCAGAGGAGCAGGAAATGTGTTGCCACCTTGTCCCTACGGTGTGGATAATGTCCAGTGTCTTGACTGAGCTGATGAGTTCACAGGTCGTTCACTCGGTAGTCCCCAAGCTGTACACTTGTGATCTGCACAGTTTCTTGGTGGCGAGTTTATAACATCAATAAAAAAGTTTACTTATATCTTAGTACCGCCTTCTAGGGGGCCACAGTGATAGCAGCTCCATCGAGGGACCTGGGAAGGTCATGTGGGTTAGTAACAGAGGCACAGCCAATTCCATTTAAGATAAATTTCATAATTAGGAATGGCTCTCCAGGACTGAGAACAGGAGGGGACCTGTTCCTACTTCCTCATGCCTTCTTCAAGCATATGCCTTTGATCAGGTCTTTGCAGCCAAGGGTGTTAGAATGTCCAACAGTTAAGAAAACACATCAGTTCTACGCAGGTCATCCCATAACCTGTTAGGAGTTCTGCAAGTTGAGGACCAGACTCCCCCGCTTTGGAAATCGCTGGTCCCTGGCTCACAAAGATTGGGTGTTGTATGTGCATTGCAGACCCCTCAGCAAGAGGAGAGATCTAGCTTTCTTCTGTGACAGTCTTTCCAGCTTAGCATGGCATCAACTGTGCACATGACTCCGGCTACTGGGAACTCCAAGGCTGTGATGCAGACACACCACGGGCACAGGAAACACCTGCCCTGCTCTGCTGCTCTTGTACCTTGGGTCCCTAATCAGGAACAGGGTAGGAGTTGAATGCCTCTTGTGAACCTACATAATTTTCCCATGGCCTGGGGAATTTCCACAGTGGTCAGTGACTGCTGATAGAAAGAGTGGAGAAAACTGGGGAAGGACACTGTGCAGGGCTTACCGTGAACTGCAATATCTTTTGTGTCCTGGATGAGGGCATTCCCAGCCGCCACCTGGACCGTAAGGGTGTTGGTCCCCTCTGCCCGGAAGGTGAAGGAAATGCTGCTGTCCAGGGTGATGAGGGGCTGCAGGAGGAAAAGAACCAGGCCATTTAGTCCTCTGTGGAGAGCGGATTTCCTTCCTTTCCTGTAAATCTCAGGATGTCACAAATCCGCACTGCACATTATTCCCAAGGGATCCAGACTTGAAAAAGAGGGGCAAACCTTTACTCGCCTTCCTAACTCTAGTGATTCTTCCAGGGTCCGGGAGACTATTAATACACTTAAAACACGGTGTAAATTGTTAACCCAAGGAAGGGAGATGGGACCTGACACTTCAGGCTTTTCAGGTCACTCTGTTCTTTTTCCTGGGGCAAAGTAGAGGCAGCTTTTGTAACCTGCTCCTGATGGCTCTGAGAATAGAAGATCATTTCTCTTCTCCCCCAGTATCTAGTGTCACTGTGTTTTCATTCTGTATTCCATTACCCTGTAAGGCCTTAAAGAGAAGTGACCACATTTTACTCACTTCTGTATCCCTCACTCCAGGCATGTTGTCGTTCATTTACATTATATATATAATAATCCGTATGTGTATAATATATAATATCTATAAATTAGATGCATAGTCATACTATTGACTTTTTGCTTTATATCTATTTTCCATTGCAACACATTTTTACCATTTTTATTAGGCTAGGTAGCACACAAACATAACTGTCATCATGTTTTTAAGTTTTATTTTCCTTTTCTCTTTCTTGAATTTCATAGCTAGAGACTTCTCAAGGATGAAGAGAAAAATACAATCATTGTATTTTCCCTGGAAATTGGGCTCTTGGTCAAAGAAGGTGCGGATTAGAGAGGAGGCCAGCCCTGAGGTTGAAGAGTCACGGTTCAGGGCTTTCCTCAGAGCCCAGGCTCTCTGGAGCTCCCCACTGTTTGGAAGGCGAGACACAGCAGCGAGGGACCCATCTAAAGGAGAGGACAGAGACGCTGCAGCACCTGAGCAGACTCAGGACATCCACCGGCAGGGGATGAAAATGCAGCTGGCTGCCCCGGAAGGGTGCGCGTGGGCAGTGCTACAGCAAGCTGTGCTTGGTGCGTGGCTGGCTGCACACATGGGGCCTGTGGAGGCTCTCAGAGGTAGTGCTCACTGCTCCTGCTGTGGCTGAAATTCCTTTCCAGCTCACAATTTTTGACTGGGCCTCTGAAACAATAATTTGATTTTTTTCCTGCTTTAAAATTCTATAGTTGTGTTTTATGACCAGGTGGATGGCTAGTGTTGGGCAAGATTAGAGATATTGCCTTAAGCTCTGGAGACGGTTTCTTGTCTGTTTGCTAAATTAAAAAGAAGGAAGGGAGTATGTAAAGATGTCCAGGCTTTTCCCCGGGGTTCAGGGGTTCTCTGTACTCAGGACTGGGCTCCTCTGAATCACACAGGGCTGCATTGCAGGCGGATCTGTGTTGCACACCCTCACACTCAGCACTGTGTGAGGCCCTGCCTGGGGGAGCTGGGGAGGTGGGGGGAGCCACAGGGTGGCTGTGGACTGAGGGCATCACATGGTTGCCATCTCTAGTGTATCAAGGACTTAAAACCCTGGCTCTGTTATGTGCTAATGAAGCACCTTGGCAAATCTGTCACCATTTGGAATCTCTGCCTTTCTCTGTTAAAAGCAGGGTTTGGGAGAGAAGGTCCGTGGGACTCACTCAGCAACAGGTTCAGAGTGACTGACAAATGGCATCAGGCACAATTTCTGGGCCTCTGTCAGCCCTTCGTGTCTCGATCAGAGGCCTTCAGCTGCTTCACTACATTCTTTGGAAACAAAATGAACTACCTCTATGTAACTAGCAAGGCTAAAATTTTTTAAATGATAACACCAAATAATCTTGTAAATGTAGAGCAAATTAGAACTCTTACACAATTTAGCTGGGTCTATAAAACATTACAACCATGGAGGAAAAAGTCTAGTTTAAAAAAAATTGCAAGAACCGTTTTCTGAAGTGGTTGTACTATTTTATACTTTATGATTTGGCAATTGCAATTCTAGGAATTTCATCAATAGAAAAAAAAAGTGAACGACAACAACAAAGCTCACAGCAGCTTATCTGTAACATCCTAGAGTTCTTCAACAGAAAAACAAAGGAACTATAGTACATTCATACACTGAACAGAAAAAACAAATGAACAAAATGTATATATATATATGTATATACACACACACACACATACATATACAGATACAGAGATCCACAAACTACAAGAGGTGAAAGAAGCCAATTAATATTGTATGATTAAATTTTTATGAGACAAATATAATCGGGGGAAAATGCAATAGTGCTTGGTTCTGGGATGGGGCAGAGACTGGCCAGGAAGGAACACAGCCAAACCACCTGGAATGAGGACAAGACAACAGGCTCCACAGGGGTCCGGGACATACAAGTAAACACCGCCGTCAAACCCAGTAATGCACATGGCAAATCTGTGCACTCCATTGTTGACACATTTTACAGCATCACGGTAAGTTGCCCAGCAATTCTGAACTGTAGTTAAGGATCTACAAGCTGAATCATTTAAGACAAAGCATATAGGTTTCTTAAATTTATTTTGAGCGAATAAAAAAATTTAAAGATGGATAGATGGAGGATTGGATAGATCAAAAGCGAGAGAACAAGCCCAGTAAACGTTAATGACAGGTGACGACTGGTGGGCATGAGGGTGTTCTCTGCAAAAGTCAACGTTAGTGTGTGGATGTGAAAATTTTCATAGTAAACTTGGGAAAATGACGAAAGGAATAATTAATGTGCTTTCATTTTCCTGCCCTCTGGAATGACTCAGACCACAACTGCCTGTCACTGCTCCTCCCTTTTGGTTTACTGTCCTCAGCTGTCTCTTATCTCATCCTACCTGTCAGGAGCAGGCCTTTTCCTCTCTAAGGAAACCTTTGCTAGTGGTGACATGGCCTCTCTTTGCACATTCTTCTGCTCTCAAGACTTGGGTGTCTGTGCTGTCCTGGACCATGCTGTCCCTTCTGAAAGGAGGGAAATGACTGCAGTCCAAGCAGATTTGATCTTATGTCCATCTGGCTGTGTCCCTAGGAGCTCCAGGGTGAATGAGGGCAAAGGGCTGCAGGGCGAAGGGAATGCCATCTGAGGTGGGCAAGTACATTCTTTCCTGCCAGGCTGTCAGGCCCGGAGATGCAGCTAACACTGCTGACTGGAGCCAGATGGGGGCGGCAGGCTGCAGGCTGCATGCTGAGGAAATGGCAGAGGCTAATTTTCTTTTCCAAATTGCTTTTGTTTTTCATCAACAGTTATGGCATCATGGCTGATTTCACCTTCCCCACAAAGCTGGAGCCCTCAATAGGATTCTTGGGTTCTTCACTGGCTCTGATATCTGGTGCCCAATGTTAAATTAAATCATGAATTTTAAGGTTCATTTGCTCAAATCTATTAGGCGAGCAGACACATTTATTAAGCCAGACCTCTGTTAATCCCAGCAAATTGGCCATTGCGAGCCCCACAAATCCAACAGGCAGCCAGCTGACTTCTCTGCCTCCGCTCTGTCCAGGGTGTGGGGCCAGCTCACAGAGAGGCCTAATAAGCACGCCTCACAGCCTCCCCAGGAAGAAGCCCTCCTGTGCGACAGGTCACGTATTAGCCAAGAAATCAACAAAGCTCTATGAACCTACTGGGTTATGGGATTTCCAATTGACTAATGGAACAGGTTGCTGCAGGGAAATAATGTTTGAATGCAAATGATACCAATTTCCCAGACACAGTAAGTCACTATTGCACATTATAATATCTGCACAGTTTAAGATGTACAGCTTGATAAAAGCTGCCATTCACAGATTGGAGAGACAGTGCAATTTCTATGCTTGCTTGCTTTACTTAAAATCTTCAGCAGATTATGCAGTAATGTTTGCAAAGTGCTTTTCATAGGAAGTAGAAGGGAAGAATGCATAATTGTAGCTATGCCATGCTTAGAACTACACAAAACACTTAAATACCCCAAAAGACAAGAACAAAATAAAGTAGAATAACATCTATAACCATGCTGACTATGGGATTAATGTGAAAGTTCAAAAAATTTAAAAGTACCAAACTGCCTAAAGTATCACTGTCCATAAACCAGGTTCTCTCCTATCACCCTATCTTTAATCTGAGTTCCTATGACAAAATAAAAAGTACACATTTATGTCATTCAAAGCCGTCTATCCTATCCTCCCATCTTTCTGCTTTTCCTCCTAGATCTACCCAAAGTCTTCTACTTTAGCTGAGTCAGTCCACACAGAGCTCAGCCATTCCCAAAGCCTTACTGAACATGTAGACCCTCTCTCTCTCCTAAGTTTAGGACCAATTTCATGTGTGACTTGGTCAGTGACCCACAAAGCCTGCATTCATCACTTCGTGGGCTACTTGACTCAGTCAGTAAGAGTACTTTCCTATCGCCTTCGCTTCCTGTGTCTTTCCTTGGATGTTAACTTTATATTCCCAAATAGATTATTTTTCTTGAAGGTAACAAATGGAATTTGGACTGCTTTGTATTCCTCACAACATCTGCTACAAAATACAGCTCCTGAAAGGGCTCCACAGAGGTACTGGTGCAATTTCACATCCCCCACTGATAGGTTTCAGGCATGTGAGCCAGCAGCTGCATTTCAGGAGTGTATGCTCTTTTCTATTTACTTACATATCTTACTTGCTCACCAATCACTGCACATGTACTCATCCTGCTTTCTCATCTGGAATGTGACCTCTTTGAAGGGAGGATGGGGGTATATGTGCTCTTCTCCTCAAAACCGCACCAAGACAAGGACTGGATATAAAGCAGGGGATGAGTTCATGTTCAATTGATTTAATTCAACCACCAGATAAACCTCTGCACAGCACTGAGTCACACACAAGAGCACACACACATGCACGCACACACACTTCCAAGGCTATTAGATTAAGTGTATTCCCTGCAATATGGGAAAATTTCTTTTTCACAAGTGATGTTCTGATAATTAAATAAAATATATATATATACAGAGCTCAGCAAACCACCTGTGCTAGGGACCAAATGGCTGTCAAGTCATTGCACGCAC